TAACTTGTGAAATTTGACCTAACTCTGGGTAGTCAGTGTCAGAATTGCAATGTAACTGGATATTCACTACATTAACCACTCCCTTCTACTATAAAGAGGGGATTACAATCTCCAAGACTGATATAAGAATTAAATGTGATGTGCATAAAGCACTGAGCACTGAGCACAATGCCTGGCACATGGAGACGGAAAGTTAAATATCCCACAGATGATTAAATCTGTTATCTGCTTCTTAATGTACATTTTTTACATAAAATTATCCATAACATCCAGTGAAGACAAAGAAACAATGAGAATAGGAGGTTAGTTGGTGAAAATGGCAGGTGAAAAATGGAGGTATTATTTTAGAATAAAGGGTGTACATAGGGTAGATATAGTGGATAAAGAGGCCACAAGGAAAACATGGGACTATTGAGGTGAGAAGAGCCCTAGAGTGAGAGAGAGGCATCCTGGGAAGTGAGTAAGGTGGCAGGGACTCATTTGGATTTTGTTTGAGGACCTGGTGATGCCACTGGTGGTACCCTGGGGGAACCACTAAGAGAAAACAACACCCATCTGCTTCCCAGAACCCAGGGTCAGCAGGAACAGGAAAGGTAGGTTTCTCTGGTTCCAGGGGAAGATAAGCAGCAGAGCACCCTGTGAACCTTCCCCCGGGGGAGGATGGGTTAGTAGGGATACTGCGGGTTTGAAGAACCTACTGTTCCTCTGCCACTCAGCCCTCATGTCTTCTTTCTTTCTCCAAGCTTCCCTTCTCCACCCTCCAGATTACCTGTTGATGGTAGAAGTTGTTGGCACTTTGTTCAAACCGTTCATCTTTGGTTTCCACAGTTTTCCCCAACTTCTGCAGTACCTGAGGATATAAGTTGGAAATGTCCATAAGGTTATAGTTAAGTCTCTCTTATCTGTTGGCCTCATATGACACTGGCTTCTCTTAGCATCTCAGATGTAACTAAAGGGCTGCCATATTCACATCAGCCCAGTAGGATTAGAAATATAGCACATTGCTGAATAAACCATCATGTTTTTGTGGTTCTTCTCAAATTGGGATACTCCTGGGGTATTCAGGAGTGTGCCAGGGGGTATATATAAAGCCTGGAATGACACTGTTATTTACAGGGAAGGTTTTTATTTAGCAGGGGTGGGGGTGGGGGTGGTGGTGGATATGGGGAGAGTATTATATTAAAAAAATTAATAATAATAATGTAAAACGTACATGGCTTTTAAAGATAAAACATGATCCTTGAAGACATTTTACACTTGGGAGGCCCTTTTCTAGCTATAGCCGCAAATTCCTCAAAATAGATGAGGTTAGAGAGGTGGGCAGAAGACTCTTCCCTTAGGAGGACCCTTATAGAAAGCTTTGAGAAGCCTTGATAAAATGCATTTGACACTGAGAAATGAATGTCATCCATGTCTGTCTCCTCTCCACTGGGAGCCTGAGAGCCAACCATCATACTGGTCTCAGTGCTAATGCAAAGGACACGGAAATGAAAAAGATACAGTACCTGTTCTCACAGGGGACACTCACTTATAAACAAATAAGAAAGTCTTGACTCTTCTACCTGTAACCCATTTTGGAAGGAGGCACCCCCGGCCCAAGTTGGGATCTCAGGGGCTTCCTGCCCTCAATCACTTCTCTCTCACCTCCTTCATTGACTCCCTCCCCATGTCCATCTCTGGAAACCATCCCGTGCTTTCTAGTCGCATTGCCGCAGCTTCAGTCCAGGCTCTGATTGTTTCTCACCTGGCCTGCTACAATAGGCCTGTCGTGCTGCTGCTTAAAACTTTCCAGTGGTTCTCCAGTTATCTGCTCAATAATTTTTTATTAAATACCTGTTATGTATCTATAAGTTATAGTTAAGCCCTCCCATGCATACAGGTCTCAATGATCTAGCTCATCATTTAGCCTCCGGTCTCACTGTTCCTCCTTCCTGCAGGTCTCCATCCCTAATACAGAGATGTGTTATTTATTTCCTGAATAAGCCAGATTTTCGCTTGTTGTAGATGTTGTCCCCTCCTTCTGAAACTCTTTTCCCCACCTCGTCTGTCAGACCACTATCTAAAAAAATGCAATTCATACTCTGTATCTATTGTGACACTTAATTTTATCTACTGCATCTTATTAATCAAGTTAATCGCTCCCTCCTAAGCATTTAAAACTTCTGTACCTTGTATGCACTTCGGTTACTGTTTTATTACTTATATTTATCTATCTATGTATCCTTCTAAACGGTGAGCTCCTTGAAGATTGGGTGCTTGACTCACTCATCTAGACTTCTCAGTATCCAGCAAATACATACTTAATACTTATATCAGGAAGGAGAGTGAGACTGATACAAGAGAGGCTAGGCCTTGAATTAAGATTTTGCTAAATTGGAATAGGGTATAAAAGGTGAGGGTGAAAAGAGGATCCCAGGCAAAGATAACATCAGCGAAGTCACAGGATTGTACAAATTTACAGCAGCTTCATGAGGTGCTTCAGCATGGCTGGTTTAGGGTGTTGTGGGGAATATGGTAAGGAAGCTAGAAAGTCTCACTGTGGAGGGCTTTGAATTACATGCAAGACTGCCCAGGTCTTGGGAGTGAGAAAGGCTCTATGTAGAGATTCTGACCCAAGGGTGTCCATTCTTAATCCTGGGGTTAGTATCTCTCACTTCTGGAGCTCTCTATAGTGGTTAAGATCAAGGGCTCTGGAGTTAGACAGATAGATATATGCTCTCATCTACGCCTTTCCACTTACTGGCTATAAGCCTTTGGACAAATCATTTAAACTCTTGAGCCCCAGTTTACAGAACTCCCTATCCCATCTCTCCCCCCCTTAAGACAATAGTATCTCCTGGAGTTGTTGGTAGAATTAAATGATATACATGTAACTTGCCTTCACAGTGCTGCCCTAAGGTGAGTAACTCAATATAAACCCACTATCACTATTGTCTAGTTCTACTCCCTTCCCCATAAATATCTGTTTTTATTCCCTTTTCAGTTTAACCATATGTATATGTCTGTGTCTCTAAGTCCGCCTTAACACCCACCTCTGGGTGTGCAGAGTCTGCCATCTTCCCTGGCTCCACCCTCTCCCCCAACAAAATACTGTCCTCTACCAGAAAGTTGCAAAATCACCTTTTTTAGTGGTTACCACAGCTCTCATTTCCTTCCTGCAACTCCTCCCTTCCTTTGCTAGGGCATGGTTCTTCTTAGGTGGAGGGGGCTGAAAGGATAGAGTAGTCAACTGAATCTAGAGTTAATGTGGCACTCCCTGAAGCAGACCTATATTCCCAATCCCCAAAAGGCTCAAGGCAAAAAGGCTTGGGAGGTGTGGGAGGGTGTGTGCCGAGGGGACACTACCACCTTCAATTCTGAAACTGAAAAGGATGAGTATTAGCACCCCGGAAACATAATCCAGTGCCCTGGGCCCAAAGTCTTTTGTTGCCCTAAGCGACAGGGTCAGGTGTCATGGCATTTATACTATGCTGTAGACGTTTGTCCTCAACTAGAGTTCCTTGAGGGAAGAGGATGTACAGATGCTCCACAGATGTTTGTTGAAAGAATAAATTCTACCTTTGGATCACTTCCTAATGAAAGCCCATGTAATACTAATCCCTAAAGTCCTGCACTGAGAATTCTGCCCCAATTTGCTTGGCTTAGCAACTGAGAAGTTAGAATATAAATACTGAAAGAGAAAGAGCAGGGACAAGAGAGAAAGTAAATGTGGCAAAAGGTAAACACTTGGTGAAATAGGTGAAGAATATTCCAGTGTTCACTGATTTAACTTTTATGTAGACTGGGGTGGGAGGGTATAGCTTTAAAAAAAATCACTGCAGACATGTTCGGTGGCAATAGTTCCTCATCACGACCCTTCCCAATAATCATTTATTATATCTTAGTGATTTCTCTCAATTGGGGTAATTTGAATAGGACTTGGATATTAAGATATTGTGGAATTTTGCTAAAAACTTTTTCTTAGGTGCAGTCACGATATTGTAGTTATGTAAGAAATCCTTCTTTTCAGGATATATGCTGACGTTGGGTCTCCTTAACACAGTCCTAATAGACTTTCCATCCTTTTTTCCCACAACTCCTTGTGCTCCAGCTCANCTCCTACCAAAGACCTTGCATTTGAAAATATTTCCAAATGATTCTGATATACAGTCAACTACTGAATTAGATGATAGATAATACCTTTTAATATAATCCTAAATAATTATTTTCCATATAATTCAATTAACTGACTGATGTTGTATAATAATGATTTTGGCTGGTCTTTGTCCCTGATTCCTGGGAAGTAACCCCGAAATCCTTGGGATTTCTTGAGGGATAGAGTGTCTTTGCTATTTATGTGGGTCCCTCAGATGATACCTAGGATGGTGGCTGGTCAGGCTAGAAAGATGAACTATGGAGCTGGACGGTTAGGGCTCTGAGACAGGTGATATCAGCTCAAACTCCAGGGGAGGGGAGATGCTAGAGATTAAGTTTAATCACATGGCCAATGATTTACTATATACTGAAATCACAATAAAACCTCTAGATAACTAAAACTCGGTAAGCTTCCTTAGTTGGTAATATTAGATCAATGTGCTGGGAGGGGGACATGTCTTAAGGACACAGAAGCTTCACATTTGGGACCCTCCCAGACCTCACCTTATATGTCTTCATTTGGCTGGTCCTGATTTGTATCGCTTATAATAAAACTATAATTTTAAGTAGAGTAATTTCTTGAGTTCTTTGAGTCTTTCTAGAGAATTATGGAAGCTGAGCAGCTAGTAGGAACCCCCAAATTTGTGGCCAGTTGGTCAGAAATTGCAGGTGGCTTGGGAACTCTGGAGCTTGTAGCTGGTGTCTAAAGTGAGGCAGTCTAGTGGGGGACTGTGCCCTTAGCATGTGAAATTTGACATAACTTGTGAAATTTGACCTAACTCTGGGTAGTCAGTGTCAGAATTGCAATGTAACTGGATATTCACTACATTAACCACTCCCTTCTACTATAAAGAGGGGATTACAATCTCCAAGACTGATATAAGAATTAAATGTGATGTGCATAAAGCACTGAGCACTGAGCACAATGCCTGGCACATGGAGACGGAAAGTTAAATATCCCACAGATGATTAAATCTGTTATCTGCTTCTTAATGTACATTTTTTACATAAAATTATCCATAACATCCAGTGAAGACAAAGAAACAATGAGAATAGGAGGTTAGTTGGTGAAAATGGCAGGTGAAAAATGGAGGTATTATTTTAGAATAAAGGGTGTACATAGGGTAGATATAGTGGATAAAGAGGCCACAAGGAAAACATGGGACTATTGAGGTGAGAAGAGCCCTAGAGTGAGAGAGAGGCATCCTGGGAAGTGAGTAAGGTGGCAGGGACTCATTTGGATTTTGTTTGAGGACCTGGTGATGCCACTGGTGGTACCCTGGGGGAACCACTAAGAGAAAACAACACCCATCTGCTTCCCAGAACCCAGGGTCAGCAGGAACAGGAAAGGTAGGTTTCTCTGGTTCCAGGGGAAGATAAGCAGCAGAGCACCCTGTGAACCTTCCCCCGGGGGAGGATGGGTTAGTAGGGATACTGCGGGTTTGAAGAACCTACTGTTCCTCTGCCACTCAGCCCTCATGTCTTCTTTCTTTCTCCAAGCTTCCCTTCTCCACCCTCCAGATTACCTGTTGATGGTAGAAGTTGTTGGCACTTTGTTCAAACCGTTCATCTTTGGTTTCCACAGTTTTCCCCAACTTCTGCAGTACCTGAGGATATAAGTTGGAAATGTCCATAAGGTTATAGTTAAGTCTCTCTTATCTGTTGGCCTCATATGACACTGGCTTCTCTTAGCATCTCAGATGTAACTAAAGGGCTGCCATATTCACATCAGCCCAG